CGCCTGGCTTCGAGGACTCGCGCTGCAGGTGCGCCGCGCCTGGGTTTGGGAGGCTCGAGGGCGGGGGTGGGGGTGGGTTCCGGGACAGGGGTGGGGACAGGAGGGGGAGGCCCCTGGGGACGGTAGGTGGGGCAGACTTGTTCAGGAGCCTGGCTGCGGATGCCTTGGTTCCTTGGGCCAGCCATGTCCGTTCTCTGAGCCACCAAGCTCTTATCTGTGACTTGGAAACAACAGTCCCCTAGAGTTGCCAGATAAAATACAGGACACCTGGGCAAATTTGACTTTGAGATAAACACGCTGTCGTCTGCGGGTGGGTGTGGGGTTGGGGAACCCAGAGCTAGTGCTGGAAGAAAACCTAGAGGCTTTCCTGCCGAGCTGCCCACCAGATGCTCAATCGCCTCAGTCCCGGGCGTCAGGGGCAGAGTGAGATGGTCGAGTCTTGGCCGCTTCCCTCATTGAGTCTGGCTACGACTTACCCCTCCTTTGGAGCCAGGCTTATGGTGGGTTGACTGGCAGAGTTTGGACTCCCCCTCTCCCCGTAAAGAATGTCAGGCCCAAGCTTTATGTCTAGGCACATGCTCTTGGCACATGCTCTTGCCCCAGGAGAGTCCTTACATTTCACTAGCTCCTCAGAGAACTCTGAGCCTGGGGAGGTTTCAACCGGGACCTAGTGTACACCTTGTTGGGGGTGGGGCTGGAGCAGCAGAGTGGTGGCCCTGGCCCCACCCCTTCCACCTCAGACGCCACTTCCATGACTGACAGCAGGGTCTCTAGGAGGTGGCCCTGAATTCCTTGGATGACAGTGCAGAGGTTGAGGTTGCCGGTGGTCACACAGGGCGTGGGGGTGGGCCAGGTCCCAGGGGTGCTCTGTGCTTTCTCCTCAGGTTGCCTGTCCCACCAGAGGAATGCAGCCTTAATATCACCTGCCTCAGTGGTGGCCCATGCGAGGGTGGGCCCCAGGGTGCCAACTGCAGCTGCCAGGAGAGCTTTGCTGGCCGGAGGTGGGCCTGGGGTCCAGGGGCCTGGGAAGTGGGCCTGGGATCCAGGGACCTGAGAGGTGGGCTGGTGAGTGCGGAGAGCTGGGCAGAGTGGGCCTCTGAATCCCCTCCTGCCAGGGCAGGTGACGTGAGGTGTGGATCCTTGCTCACCTTCTCAGCCTCACTGTTGTCACAGTGCCAGGCAGTCCACCTCTGTCACTTCAGCTCTTTCCTTCTGTCCTGCGGGCACCTCCTGGGAAGTAGTTGCCTGGTGGTGTTTCTTAGAGCCCCATGCTCAGCCCACCTGCATCAGGACCCCCCGAGGAGACTGCAGAAATGCAGGTTCTGGGCCCACTCTGCACAGATGGAGTCAGCATCTCCAGGGGGCTTCCTTTACACAGGCTCCCCTGTGTTTCTTTCTGTTGGAGTGCAAGTCATTCTCAATCATGAATGCTGGGGTGAAGGCGCGTAGTGGGTGATGGAAGTCACATTCAACTTCAATCACCTGGCAGGGCCCAGCCAGGCAGGGACAGTGCTGGGGACAGTGGATGAATGACCTTTGATGCCTGTGGGGGTAGGGGTGGGGTGGGGGAGGGTTTGAGGAGGTAAAGGAGCTGGGGGAACAGAGGCAGCACGGGAAGGAGCAGCTTTCTGAGTCCCACCATCCTCCCTGTCTTCCAGGTGTCAGATCCCCTGTGAAGCCAACCCTTGCTTGAATGGGGGCACCTGCCGGGCAGCTGGTGGGGTATATGAATGTGTCTGCAGTGCGAGGTTCTCAGGCCAGTTCTGCGAAGTGGTGGTGAGTGATGCCAGGAGAGGGCGGGTGCCCTGTTTTAGACTTGAGTGAGATCGTGTTGGAGGCAGGGTGTGTGTACAGCATCTGTGGAACTGTTCCTGAACCAACCCTGTCGTGGGTTGGGGAGGAGCAGAGAAAGGAGACTCAGGTTTCGCCCACGTCCCCCACAACGGAGGTATTTTCACTCTAGGGAGAGCCTAGGGGTCCCCACCATCCCTCTGCAGACTGGCAGTGAAATAATTGGGCTCAACCAAGTCTGATCTGGGACCAAGACTCAGGGCCCACGGGGCCTTGGAATTCTGGGATTTGGGTAGGTGAATATAAGAGCCTGTAATCTCCAGCGGTTTTTGAGCCAGGATTCTAGAGTAGGAAGATCTGGGGAGCCCAGGATTCTGAGCCAGAGAAGGCTGGGCTGCTGTGAAGGCAGCCCCTGACCCCAGGGACGCTAAGCTGAGGAGGGGCCCAGATAAATGGGGGCTGGCAGGCAGCTTGAGCTTGAACCTCCCTCTGGCCCCCCTCCCCACCAAGAGGTGGAGCAGACTCTGCAGGGCCAGCCAGAAGTTAGCCAGGAGTGGGCACTGGCAGGGGGGATGCCTGAGGAGGAGCCTTGATCTCCACAGGGTTCTGACAGCCCAGGTCATAAACCCAAAAATCCCCTCTGCTTCTGGGGAATGTTTCCTTTCAAGTTGAGCTTTACAGCCCCTGGCTCTCCACCCTCCCTCCTCCCAGGGAGGAAATGGCTTTATAGCTCTCCTAGAAGCACCCAGGGCTGGAGGCTGGGGAGGGGCTAGTCAGGGCTGGGATGAACTTTTCTCTGCAGTCTTGGGCACCTTCCTCAGGGCTGGAGGGTGAGACTTGGGGCCCAGGTCACAGTGGGCTGAGAGCTCTCATGGGATGGAGGGAGGGCTGTGAGTCTGAGACCCTGGGGCTGGACTCCTGGGAATCTATGGTTCTGGGGCTTCAGAGTTCGGGTAGGTAGAATCGTCGATGGAGGCATCCCAGGCATCTGTGATGAGACAGAGAGGCTTCCTGGGTCCCCCAGAGTCTGGTCTGAGTCTTTTGGGGGTGGGGGCCGACCCTGGTGGATTCTGAGCTTGCTGTCAGCCAAGTCAGCCTGCTCAGCTCATGCCTGGCACTGGCCCCCTGGCTGGGGAGCCTCTCCTGCTACTGCCTGAGATACCTCCCACTTTGGGATTGAGCATGGTCTCTCCAGACACCTAAAAAAACCAGACTGCCCTTCGGGATGGGGAGAGATCAAGGCCCAGCACCTCAGATTGGATGAGTGTATTGTGGGGAGGGGGAGGCCGTGCAGGGAGGTGGGGTGGCGGGGCTGGGCACTGAGGCCCACCTGGCCAGGTGAAGGAAGGGCCTTTGGCTGGAATTCAAGACTGAAGGATGGTGGTGTGAGCTTGGCATGGGTATGGCATGGCCTTGGGGGTGGATGGGGGAAGTGCCAGTCCTGGCTCGATACTACTAGTCATGTGTCTGTGGGAATCTGGGCAAAATCTCAATTTTCTCACCTAATATTTATCGAGGGCCTACTGTGCAGGGCTCTGCTCTGCATTTTGGGATCCATGAGTGAACCAAATAAACCAAAGATCCCTGTCCTCATGGGAGAAGGGGAGTGTCCCCACTCCCGCTTCATCAGATCGTTGTAATGTTTCCATGAAATCCCAGCAAGGTGCTGAGCTCGTTCCAGGCGTTCAGTAAACGTGTTTTCTCTCCTCCTAGCCAGAACCCCTTTGTAGTACAGGAACCCCCTTGCAGCGCTCTGATAGGTGGCTCCCTGGCACTTGCTTGCATACCCTTGGTGCCAGGTCTCACACTACCTCCCGGGGAAGCCTGCGTCCAGCAATGCCTTTCTCTGAGCAAGTCCTTGTGCCTCCTTTTCTCCTCTCTGCTGAAGGGCCTGGGGGTCTCCCTGCCTTCATGACCTTAGGTGTCTTACTGTATCTCTTGCAGAAGGGGCTGCCACTGCCACTGCCGTTCCCGCTGCTGGAGGTGGCAGTGCCTGCTGCCTGTGCCTGCCTCCTCCTCCTCCTCTTGGGCCTCCTCTCAGGGATCCTGGCAGCCAGAAAGCGCCGCCAGTCAGAGGGCACCTACAGCCCGAGCCAGCAGGAGGTGGCCGGAGCCCGGCTGGAGATGGACAGTGTCCTCAAGGTGCCACCTGAGGAGAGACTCATCTAGGCCCACCTGTCTGTGGCTCCAGCACCCGTGAGGTCCTCAGTTCTACCTGGAGACCCAAGGAAGCTGCTTCCAGGGGCCTGCAGAGAGATGGCTTGCCTCTTCCGGGCCCTGGGGAGCTGCTGCAGGGCCCAGGAGACCTGCTGGGGAAGTGTCCCCTTTGCTGGGAGCCCCTGCCTCTGCCCCATCATGGACTGAGGGGAAGGGGCGCACTCAGGGAAGTAGAGAGGGGCCTGGCGAGGTTGTGGACATTCTCCATCTCCCGGGTCTGGCCTCGGCAGGCACATGGCTCTACAGGGAGGGGCACCCATGGGTACACACAACGTGGTCAGCCGTGCGCGCGCGCACACATACCTGGGACTGTCAATCTGCAGATACCAGTGTGAGTGTTACAGACGGTGCTCGTGGGCATGTCCACGTCTTTGTTGTGTGTGCATGTGACAGTGTAGTGGGTGCAGGTGGCCCTACAGAGGGGCAGCTGGGCTGTGGGGACAACTGTCCCAGCCTTGGGGCAGGGGCAGCCAAGAGCCCTGTGTTCTCCCAGAGGCCGGGCCACAGCTTGCCTGAGGACCAAAGCCCCAGCTCCCACAATCTCTCCCACCTCCAGAGGCTGCCCCTATCCTGAGGCAGCTGAAATGGGGGCGGGGGCAGGGGTAGGAGAGGGAAGGGGCATTAGCCAGAGGCTGCATGGGCTCCTGGCTCCCAGAGCAAATGCTCTTGCAGGCAGATCTATGTCCACTCTGTGCTGGAACCAGGCACGCGCAGGGACACAGACTGACAGGAGCCATGGGGGTGTCTGGGCCCGTGCGGCCTTCCTCCTCTGGACCTGCCTGTATAGATGGGGAAAGAGCCCCCACCTACCTCACAGGGCTGGCGTGAGGATCTGTGGGGAGGACAACGGGGAAGGACTCTGGAAGTCGTTAAAGTCATTCTGCTGTGAGGGGCTGCCGGGTCATCCTGCTAGGTGTTGGGAAGGGAGAGGGGTGCTTGAGGGAAGGGGCCTCCCCGAGGGGCACCACGAGGCCGAAAGTGATGAGGATGGAGGAGCAGCCCTGCCAGCCCACCTGTGGTTCTCCAGCTCCTCCAGTGGCGCAAGCGCTCTCCTCTCCAGGCTGCCTGGTGAGGCCACTCCTTCCCCAGCAGACCAGTCACCTCCCTAAGGTGACCTTTGGGAGGATTCAAGGAGAGGACTGGCAGGAAGCCCTCAGGGTTGTTTGCTGAGGCAGGTGCACCGCCTGTGTCGGGGCTGGTCCTGCGGACAGAAGGGGAAGAACTGGCCGCTTCACTCCCAGCCCCTTCCCTGGTGATGCCGTCACACTGCTGGGATCTCTGATCCCTGAAGGGCACCCGTCTGAGGGCCTGGCCTCTGAGCGGCACAGAGACCTTTTGTCCCTGACTTGGAGATGTGTCCTTTGGTCTTTCCCATTTCCCAGGCCAGTGCCCCCTATGCCAAGGCCAGGAGACCCTTTTCCACTTCTAGATTGGAGGCTGACTTTACCTAGCTCCCCCTGGGGTCTCAGTCAGCTTCCAGGGGTGCAGGAGGCAAATGTGAGGTGGAGCCACGTGGTGATGGAGGGCCAGGGAAGGGGTAGGGGGCTGAAACGGGGGGGGGGGTCAGCTGAGGCTGGGATGGGAAGAGCCCTGAACCCTAGGTTAAGGGGCTTGCCTGGTCCTTATCCTGTAGGAGGTGGGACCACCTTCCCCCAACTTTCTCCATGACAGCTGGGAAAGGGGGAGGAATCATCTGGTATCAACGGCTTAGCCACAGTCAGTGCCTTGGTTAGTCAGGGATTTTCGCAAACCTGTGTTTTTGCAGGTACCTAAGAAAAGACATTATGTGGAACCCCAATGTATAAAAGCTGGGCTGTTCTTTTTTGAGGAGCCCTAAGCTGTCTTCTCCTCTTGTTCCTAAGGATTCTGGGTACCTGTCATTTTCAAGCGCAGCCCAGGGAGGGGGACGTGGCCAACTAATAGGCAGATGCGGGGGTTGGGTGCTTACTCTGGGTTCTTGGTCCAGGTCTCCCTCCCCAACGCAGCCAACAGACGGCAGATTCCGAGGCTCTGCCCTTGCTATTGAAAGGTCTGTGCGGGCGAAGTTTCAGGTGTCTCCTTTAACTTCTTTCCTGGCGTCTGAGAGCCTTCAGCATCACTGGTGACCTGCAGCCCTGCTCCATGGACCTGGCAGGCCTGTGCATGCCTGTGACCAGCCTACCTCCAGCCCTGCTTGTGAGGGGAAGGGGCTGAGCTGGGCTCACAGTTCCGAATGGTAACAGGTTTAGGAGTGGGCCAGGGGTCAAATCCCTGACTGCTCTAAGCCCCGCAGCCTCTACCCTACAAAAGGGTATGCTAAAGATGCCTGAGGCCACCCCTTCCCCCAGAGCTTCCTCAGGACACAGGGATACCAGCCTTCTCCCCAAGAAGATTTTATTGAATGCACACACAAAATTCATCCTTGGATTTGCAAATCCAATCCAGCAAGGGAAGAGACAGCAGTGCTCACATGAACACGGAGCACATGCCACCAGCCACCAGCCCCCAGCACAGCCAGGGAAACAGGAGTGGGCTCTTCTTCCCTGCGGCCACCCGGCACCTCGTCTTACGCTCTGCCCCATGCTGTCTCCCCCAGGTGGGCTGCCCTGTCCCCGGTGGGGCTCAGAGGTCTGCCCAAGATGGGTGGATCTGGAATCTACTGAAACACCTGAGTGTCCTAGAGGAGTCCACATGGCCCAGACACGACACAGCTCCGCCTTCCGGCAGCCAGAGGACATTGCTGGGATTTAGAGAAGACTTGCCCGAGGGGCTATGACTCAGGAAGGGGCTGTGTGCTGGGCCAGCAGCTCTTCACACCCCACAGAGCGACCTTCCAGGCCTCACTCCCCCACATGTTGGGATGGCCTCCCAGCACCTCAGGCACTGACAAGGCTCCTTGGGGTTATGGGGGCCTCCAGAAACCCCCATACCCCATCAGACACCTCTGAGACTGTGGATCTGACCACTCACAGATAGGAAATGAGAAATCAGGTCAAAATGCTCACAATTTCCTGCATGTCTCAGATGGTTGTTTTCTTAAATGGTTGGGCCATATTTTAACTTGGTTTATTGAAACTAGTCAACTTCAAGATTCATCAAATCAATAAAGTAAAAAGGAAAAGAAAGATAAAAGAAACAATAACAAAACATTTCAATTTAACTTTGGTGACGTTGGCCTCAGGAATTTCTATGCTGGCAAGAATCACAAGGTGGGCTGGGAGGGGGTGGCTCTGAGACCTCCTCCTGCCTCCTGGCTGCGAGAAGTCAAGTTTGCCCACATCCTCCCAGGGGCCTGGAGAGGGGCTCAGCGCCCTGCCCACTTCTGTCCCCGGGAGTCGGGCCGCTAGGACCCCTGCGTCAGTCCACGGTGTTAAGCTTGGCCTTCCGGTTGGAATCTGGGTGCCTGCTTCTTAGCTCTGCCCCTGCAGATGCACTGGACAAGAGGCTGAGCCCCGTCTGATAGTTACTTGAGACCCAGAGAAGCTGTGGGGACCAGAGGGAGAGTGTGGAACAGCAACCTGGCTTCTCTGCCTGATGCGCTCAGATTTTCCTGGTTGCTAGTTTTTCTTCTACAGATCAGAGTTGCTGGTACTCCTGGTCCCCATGCAGGGCTGGCTGGAGCGGGGTTTGGCTATCATGAGGGATCCCAAGGGTCCCTCAGCCCCCAAATTCCTACCAAGCCAGAAAAACTGAAGTTTGGGAGTTGAGGTGAAGACTCAGGAAAGGATGAGTGTGCATATTGCTAGAGAGGGTTTGGATATGTCTCACCAGATAGCTCCTCCGGCCTGGAAAGGGGGTGCCTTACTTCAAACTCCAAACCATGTGCGCCTTGTGCAGACGAGCTCGCACTGAGGGTACCACCGATGCCTGTGCCCAGCGAGGTGGGCTGTTCAGGGCTGAGCTGCAGTTGGGACAGGAAACAGGGCTCGGGAGGAGATGCCTTGAGGAGCCCCACAAGGCTCCTGGTGGGAGCTTTCCAGAAAAAGGTGGGTAGGACGTGGTCTGGGGCAGTCATTAGCCCAGCCGTCCTCTTTAGTGCAAAACCCAATCATGGGTGCAGGGGAAGGGTGGTGGCAGGGCAGGACAGGTGCCCAGGAGCTGGGTCGATTCCCAAACTGGAACTGGTGCCATTCTCCAGCAGCCAGACCTCAGAGATGGGCAGTGTGGAGAGGAGGAGGGGTGGCAGAGAGGGGTCCCATCCCTTCCCACCAGTAGAACCTGGGCGGAAACAGCGGCAGGGGAAGCAGGGCCAGCCCAGAGCTGCAGTGGTGGGCAGCGCAGCCTCGGTCGCCCCCAGCCCTCAGCGCCTGGCTCACTCGAAGGTCTCCCACTGCTTCCTGAGCTGCTCCACGGAGCCTGGGGCGGGGGCTGGGCTCACATCTTGCTTGGTTTTCTGTAACAAATCCTCAAAGGGGTCTCTGGCCTCTCGTGGAGCGGAGGGCTGCAGTGCTGGCTCCAGGCCCTGGGAGGGTCTAGAGGGGAGGAGCGGGGGATCTCCAGGCCTGAGGGCCAGCCCTTGCTTGGCCTCGGCAGCCCTGGCGCTTGAGCGGGCCAGGGGCAACGTTCGGATCCTCGAAGGGGTGACCGCTGGGGGACCCAGGGGCTGCAGGGAGTGGGCACCCATGGGCATCTGGCCAAAGAGGTTAGGCATAGAGAGAGCAGACAGGTTGGGCTGAGATCTGTGTGGGGCACAGAAGCCAGAATTGGACAGCAGGAGGCTGGGGGCAAAAGCTGGCCCCAGGGGAGCAGGAGGGGCCCCGTAAGGCCCAGCTGGTGTGGAGACCAGGGACATGGCAGGCAGCGCCGCTGGCACAGATGGGACGAAGGGGTTGAGTGATGGCTGTGGAAAGGGGGTGGGGGTCCCCATGGGGGGGAAGCTGAATTGAGGGGTGAATGGGGTGGCTACATTTGGGGCCACAGGGCCTGGTGGAAGGGTACTGCCTGACCAGGCTGTGTTAAGTGGGTCCAGGAGGGCCAGCAGGGTGTCACTGCTGGTGCCCGCAGCTCCTGGGGCCAGGTTGAGTGGCTGGAGCAGTTCGGTGGGGTCCTGTCGGGCAGCACTGGCGAGGATCCCGGGGAATGGGGCTGAGCTCAGGGCAGCCCGTCTCTCCCGCTCAGCCTGCAGCTGCTCTGAGGAGAAGTCCCCGAGGGCAGTGCTGGCAGCCTGGATCCTTGGCGTTGGGGGCCGGGCGTAGGGGTTTGGGGGGGGTGGGGGCCACGG